TTTGATTGTATCGAAACTTTTACTTTGAAAGCCTACCATAAATCATACTAAGCAATTCTACGCCTTTGTAAATGAAATCATCTTCAAGGATGGTAAACAATTAACAAGGTAGGCAATGCATCAAGTAGGTAACATTTGAATTAATCAACTTAATGCAATAAGTAACATAGGTGATAAACTTTTCAAAGTAAACAAGGTAATGGTTTAATGCATAAACCGGGGCTTGCCTTCGTTGACGATCTCGGGTTCCGGATCAGTACCACAAATATCAAATCCCGAGACAACCGGGGACTCTTCCACAACTTGCTCAACTAGAATCGGTTCACTCTCGGATTCTACACGACATAATAACATATGCTTCAAAATGATGATAATGTAAACATGATGCTTTCATGGTGCATGAAATATAATAACACCTTGAATACAATTTTCCTTCACGGTACAGTTGTAAGCCAATAAAACCAACTTGCAATTCTACCATCAAGGATCACACAAAAATGTTTACTAAGAAACCCTACATTCTTCTAAAGGATTACCCTAAAGTTTCTTGCCAAAGTTCTACTCTTAATGAATGAAATCATTCATTAACTATACTCTAACCAAATTTTAATGACATAGGGCTTATGACCTAAGTGACTAGACCAAATTGATCCTGAAACCTTGCTGATCACAAAACCTGAGCAAAACAAGATCAAAACCCTAAACCTAACACTAGGGTTTGCGTTTATTCATTTTTGAATTAATTTGGAATTAAGCTCAAAATGAACTTGTTCCAAATGACCTCAAAATTTTATGTAAGCTTCCTCATGACAAACTAGTGTACCAAAATAAATTTCATAATTTTTGAATTTAAACAGTGGCTTACAAAAATTATGGAAATTGCATTTATCAATTAATTGACTGAATTTTTGAACATTAAAAATTTATTCAAATTTCAAGTTTCATATTTTTCCTAAATAATATTCATCACAGAGAGGTCACACAAAAATTTTCATAATTTTTGGACCTCTAAACAAATCTACACAAAAATAACAAAAATAGACACTATTCATCCATTTCTGAAAAATAGAAAAAATCCATTTGAACTACACAGTCGCTGACATACGGGACCCACTTGACATCCCTAACCTTCGGCTTTTACCACGACGACAACGGCGCTGACCGGCGGTAACTCATCGACGGTGAATCTAACGGCGAAGGCAAAGGCATCACGGTGATCACTACAACAAGGCACAATGATTGGTGGCACAACCGAGACCCTACGCGGCCAGAATCGAGCACTACACCGGCCATGGTGGACGCGGTGGCACGGCAGCGCTATGCCAGCGAAACAAGGTTGGTAGAGATCAAAGAAAAGGCTTAGAAATGATCAGCAGCTCACCCCGAACGTGTTGAAGCAAAGAACGAGATCGGAGAAGCTACGGTAATGCGGGTCGACGGTGACAGCGGTCACGGCGGAGCAGACTTCGTCGGCGACGGAGTTCCGGTGACTGCAGTGGGCAAAACGACCAAGCAAGAACGGATTAAGCATCACAGCATCGAGACGAAGCTGTCGAGACAACAATCAAGGACAATGGCTCACCGGATGACGCTGGCCGCGGTGAACCGGAGCTTCGGGTGAGGTCGCCGGCCACGAGGAAGAAGGGTCGCTAGCCGCTGTTCTCGATGGACTCAGACAACCACAGTTGGTGGGATGGGTTCGGAAGGAGGAGACGGAGCTAGAACACTGCTTTGCCGAGACTGGCTTGCGCTGAGAAGTCGAGGGAAGCTCGACGGAGTTGAGACGGCGGCGTTAGGAAACAGAGGAGAGAAAGGAAAGCAGACGACGGCGTCGGAGCTTTATAGCGCGGCCAAGAGAGCGAGGGAACGACACGCAGAGACCATCCCGTGCTAGCGCGAAGCCGAGGGCGGCCACAGGCGCGTCTGGAAGACCGGAGAAAGGACGCCGGCGGTGGGGTGGTGGTCATGCTACTGTTCAGAATAATTACAGAATTGCCACTGAGTTTATTTTGCAAATTACTCTCAATTTTTCTAAATAAGTTGAAAATCTTCAAAAATGAAAGTTGCTCAACTTTTCAAGCTCTACAACTTTGCTTTAATGAACATTTTCAAATTCTGCCTCTATTTTAAAATTTGAATTTAGGGTGCATTTGAGCATTTGAATCATTTCAAAATTACTCCAAATTTTATATGTAAACTTTAAAAACTTTGAATACCAAAGTTGATCCTTATAAAATAAGCTTCAACTTTGCTTTTTGTCACACCCCCAAATTCCAAATGGATTTTGAAATAGACAAAAGGGGCAAAAAGGACTTTTATAATTTGCATTTGAATTCAATTTGATTTGTTTCCCTTTTTACTTAATTATGATTTTTGACCAATTACATGGCCCATTAGGGTTATTTTAGTCAAATGACACATGGTCACATGAAATTTGACCCTTGTGGTCATGGTTTTCATTTGGAGTTTTGAATCACATTACATCACATAAAATAACAGCTTATGAAATAAAGCTTATTTAGTGAATGCATTCAAAATTTCCTACTTTATGAATGCTTTGCAATGCATATGATGACATGTCAAGTTTTAGTGCTAGGTCAAAACACCAGAGCTGTTACAGTAAACTTACCACTAAATTTATGACTGATGGCTTAAATGTAGAATTCATGGGTGTAGGCCACGAAGACACAAATACACGGGTAAGGTAAATGGCATTTCCTTACTTCTTCTAATTTCTAATCTCTATATGACTCTAGAGAAAAAACATCAATACACATGGTTGATGGTCGGTGTGAAAACAGAAGCTTTAGAATATTTCTCATGCAATGTGAAGACCTGAAATAGATTATTGCATTGGCTTCTATGTTTTTGCTAGGAAATGTGATCTACCACATCAAGCATTTCATGTTTAGAATTCTAAATAGTTTTACCATATTAAATATAAAAAGAGCTCCAATCTTTCAGTTTTTGTGCATGACATATCTACATTAAACTCTTAATATTGTTTCCATGCAAATATTAAACATATTCTTTTACTCACGCCTTAACCAAGTGATTTGCCGGCGCACGCGAGGGCACGCGTAATGGACTAGTTGATCTTCATACCGGATATATCCTCATAACATATCAAAATAAACTTTAGATTCCTCATATTCGCTTTAGAGTTGGACAAGAAGATGATTGTTGGACTATTTGTATAATAAGCGGGACTGTTTTTAAAAATAAATTTTAAGTGGGGCTATTTTTATACTAAAATTTAAAAATGGCCTAAAAATGAAAAAAACAAATTGAGGGATCTATTTAAAATCAGATTCCTGTCTAATTTTCTTTCGAGCAAATAAAAAATCTCTTAATTTGTGCGAAACGAATTTACATACATTAGTAGAGAAACGACTTTCGGTTCGCACCTTTAGTCTCGGTTGTGTTTGGGTTTGCGACTAATATGAGCATTAGTCTCGGGTCTAAATTTCACATGCACCGAAGACTCTTTCATCCTGGTTGGTAACACCGCCTGTGACTAAAAGCCATCCTTTAGTCCTGATTGGTGTTACCAGCCCAGACTAAAGGTTCCGGTTGGTAACACCAACTAGGACTAAAGGGTGACCTTTTAGTCTCGGTTGGTGTCATCAACCAGGACTAAAGGTGACCCGGGAAAGGTTCTCCACGAGTGAATTCAAAGGAGAGCGCACATGATATTGTCACATGTGGTGTGCAGTTGAGTTGGTAAGCAAGCTACGCGCGAGGCAAGGGGTCTTGGGTTCGAATCACACGCACCGCAAGAAGAGGTCTCCAAGATTTAGGTTGGGAAACCGGGACTAAAGCCCGTTCCCAACCGGGATTGTAGCCCACCTCTGTACTGGTGATATTTAGGGCATGGGGCTAAAGTTTAATCCCGGTCACATCAGATATTTAGACACTAATTTAGAGTATTAAACATAGATTAAAACATCCCCTTATTACGAGAGAAAAGCGAAAGGATGAAGACTGATTCAGAAACTCTGAAAGCTCAGGAAGTTCAAACTCCCTTTTGAGCTTTTTCTCCATCCACCTCTTAGCATCCTATTGAAATGGTCCTAGGAAAGACTACGTACGATAAACCATTCTCGTAGCTAACTTTCTGTAGGTTATCCGAAAGGTGGCATTTGTATACAGATTGGGTTAGGGATAGGGATACATACCAGAGATATATGAGTCTTGGTTAGGGATAAGGATGTTAGTGTCTAATCCACTTCCCATGTTTGTTTACCACTGCATCAAGGATATATGAGGTTGGCCGAATCGATCTCCACTTCGTCTGATCCCTTATCCCGTTCATATCCCACCCTTCCTGTTGGTATGAGTTCGATGGGTAATGTCGCCTTGGTATCCCAAACCCAAACCATTGTATTTTCCCAAACCCACAAACCAAACATGGGTTAAAGGGCAGTAGGGTTATTGTAACCCTATCGCAGTCTTCATATCTCAGCAACCAAACGCCACCAACAAGTTCTGCATATATCATGTAAATATGAGAGTTTTACATAATTGAACAAAGACAGTTTTCACATTTATGGAGTTTGTTGGGAAGGGCTATAAAAATTGGAGGATAAATTTTGACTCTTTAATATTATATAAGGTAGATATAGATATAGATAGAAAAAGTAGAGATAGAATAGAATAGATAAATGAATGGATAGAAGATAGAATTTTTTTGATAAAGAGATAGATTAGATAGATAGATATAAAAATCAAAATATAGAAAGCCTATTGTATATTTCTATTTTTTAAGAAGAATATTATATATTCCTAGACAGGGCCCATGAGATAACGCGCGTTGAACATAAAGCACACGTTTCATTCGTGGGCCGTGCCTCTAAGAATTATTGGGCTGACTGTTGGTCTGGTGTAGCATAGAATGCGGCACGGGCCAAGTCCAACTCCAACCTCTGCTACTGGTACTGCTCCTCCAGTAGACGGTAGTCCAGTCCAATACGGAGGAGCCGCCGCCGCCGCCGCCCTCGATGGCGGCGCCCTACGAGCCTGTGGAGACGACGGAGTCGACGTGCGCGCCGAAGGCAGCGCGGGGTAGGCACCTGTTCAACGTCGCTGGGTACAGCCTGCTCAAGGGCCTCGGCGCCGGCAACTTCATCCGGTCGGCGACCTTCTCCGTCGGTGGCCACGACTGGTGCGTCCGGTTCTACCCCGACGGGGACGGGCGGAAGGACAACGTCACGGAGGGCTGGATCTCCGTCCACGTCGAGCGCCGGAGCAAGAGCACCGAGGTGAGAGCGTTCTATGGCTTGAGGCTGACCAAAAAAGGCAAGAATTTGTCTTGGAACAAGAACAATACGCCCAGGATGTTCAATTACGCAAGTCCGTCCTGCGGGTATAGAAAGTTTATCAAGAGATCTGAGCTGGAAGAGTCGTCCTTCCTGCGGAACGACCGCCTCAAGATAGTCTGTGACATCATGGTAGTCTTGGGAACGCCGGTGTCCAAATCCGAGCCAGTGCTGTGTGACATCAAGGTGCCTCCGTCAGACTTGTCGCGTAATCTTGGAAAATTGCTGCAGTCGGAGGAGGGAGCAGATGTGACATTCAAGGTTGAAGGCGTGGAGTTCCATGCCCACAGGATTGTGCTGGCAATGCGGTCGCCGGTCTTCAAGGCGGAGCTTTGCGGACCAATGAGGGAGACGATGGACATTACGGTTGAAGATATGCAGCCTGCTGTTTTTGATGCGTTGCTTCACTTCATCTATAAGGATGCGCTGCCCTCCATGGATGATCTTGACGGAGAGGAGAATGGTGAAATGGTTAAGCATTTGCTTGTGGCTGCGGACAGGTACGCTATGGAAAGGATGAAGATGTTGTGTGAGAGAATGCTTTGCAAAAAACTCGATGTTGAGAATGTGGCCATGACTTTAGCACTGGCTGACAAGCACCATTGCAGCAAGCTCAAAGATGCTTGCATTCAGTTTATCTCTTCAAACAGAATGCAAGATGTGGTGGCAAGCCCAGGGTATGAGCACCTCAAAACAGCATGCCCTGCTGTCTTTGCAGATTTGTGGGAGAAATCAGCTAGTCTTGCTAGAGTCTGAGTTGCTTGTTTCATTGATATTAGCCTCCAAACTAGAAGTTGGACTTTCTCTCAGATTTAATCTTGGTGGATAAGTGTAGAGTATGAAATGTATGTCTGGTATGGGATGTCTCCTATAATAATTTCTGTGACGTTTGAATCTGCTGCTTCGCTATGCATTTTACTGTTAAAATTTGTGGTTGGTATGCTCTTGAATCTCAAAGATCAACTAAAGCCAGAGTAACATCAATGACCAAAATCATTGTGCATCTTATATGCTAGCCACAAATACAACATTTCTGCAGCTTGATGAGCAACACTGTTACTTTTGTATTGAACTGTGATGCCATCATATTGCTAAATGTTTTTGTTATGATATGAAGATCAAAAATCATATCTTTGTGTTTGCATATACTTCCTTTTCACCAAATATGTTATTTATTTATTGAGTCAATATAAAAATTTTAAACCATAGCATTTTCTTTTGAGATGAGTTGAGCCATTGGCTGAGAAATTTACAGTTATTACAGTACAAAATGTTCAGCGTGGCAGATCCAGTGTTCTACTACTATTCTTTTGCTTAACATAATATTTCCTCTCTTAAGGTGAAGGGAATGGTTTGACTTGAGAAGCTTACTTCTATTCCAAATATCGCTCTCCTATCAGTAATCTATCTTTAAATTTACGGGCATTCTTGGATCCTTATAAAGTTAGCCTCGCCTGGCCCAACTCACTTTGCCCAGCGGTTAGGCAAAGTGAGAAAGGAGAATTGTTTGGTCCTCTTGCCATGCCATACTATTTCATCTTCTTTGTACCCTTTTCTTTTTATTCTGTGCAAAGATTTGCTGTACTGCCAGGAGGCTAGATGGTTGATTTGTGGATGATGGACCTCGATTCAGTGAAGAGTAACCCACTTTGTGCTTGATTTGGTAGTAACCAGGTCGATTGCTTTCTTGATTTGATATCAGCAAGACTAGAAAAAACATATGCTGGTGACTTGAACAAATAAGTGCGCTTCGTCCTTCCCTTGGAGCTCACACTCTAGTGGATGAGTCAACCTTGCCCAAGCCGGTGAGCTAAATCACCTCTCTTGCATGGGCAAGTTTTTCTTCTTCTTTTTTTTTTTGGTGGGCGAGCATGCCTAGCAAAGTAAAGTTGTCTGGTTCTACCAAACAACGATCCTTGCTCAATAAGGCGAGGCAAGTGGCTTGCCAAGAAACCAAGCTAACCACCCTTTTTTTTTTGAGGGGAAACCGGAGTTTCATATATGGGTAATGACAAGATTACAATCAGTGTTTATGATGTCCTCTAATCCTGTTGGGGTTATATGCCACTCCGCCACCTGGTTATCTCTGGACACCATAGGGTTGAGTGTGCGTACGTGTTGTGAGCGTCTACGTCTCTGTGCAATTCTAAAAAAAAGTACATGAGCTACTTTATTACACATTGGACTACTGAAACTCAAATGAAAATATTCGAAACTCCTGTTGCAGTACAGGGGCAATCCCCGACTTCTGCTTGGCACGATTTATCCATAGACTGACTTCCACCCTATGTGATCATATTCAAGCCAATTAGCCAAATAAGCTATGTTTTTTTTGAACAAATACTCAGCTTCCCATTTGTAAATGGGTCTTATGGAGTAGTCTATTACTTTTCCCCAACGTGGCATTCAAATATTTTTAATAGCATATATGAGGTAACCTGGTTTGTCTGATACAACAATTTCGTTATATCTTCCTCACATGAAAATCACATGCTCCGAAGGTATATTCATGTTTCACTGCAATACTGCATACACATTTTTGCCTTCTTTGCATAGATGACGTTAAAGGATGGTTAGAGATTGAGAAAATCAAACTTGTTTCATTTCATTTGTTTATAGGCTTATTTGAATTTAATATAACTTGGAGCTATCTGCATTCATTGAAAGAGGAAGTTCTGGCCAATAGCCTATTATTACTGTTGCGATGACGGAGACAAGGGATCAATTGCCTAGATAACTAATCAGCTCCAATATTTGATCATTTTTACTTGGGACATCCATTGCTATGAATGATTAAATGTTTGTCATCCTTTCTGCTATATAAATATATGTGGAGTAGTTTATGAACAAGTTCAAGGAAATCACTATTAGATTATTGGTATGAAGGTGTCATTGGAGAAATCTGGTCTTTTGGTGGGTTACTTTCACTTGCTGAGATTAGTATTGGTGAAGATATCCGGAAACTTCACACTAGGCATGGAAGGAGAAAGTTGTAGAGGAGCTGGATTATTTAGTGGCTGACTTTGAAGAAATAATCTCTTGTTCGGCTTGGTCCAAGAAGGATCAATGTGGCTTGTTAAGGATCCAAAGTCAACAACAAGGCTAGGGCTCTGTCAGTGGCAGATCTGCCACCGTGGCTGGGGGGGGGGTGAGGGGGTGCTCGAGCCCCACTACCGCGGCCGCGCCCATGGAGCAGCAGCGCAGTACAACGTCCGCACCAGCAAGCAGCAGTGCAGCACGGTAGTAGCCAGCGCCCAGCACAACACCTTGTTCAGCCTCCCCTAGGATTTTGTCCTAGATCCGCCAATGGGCTCTGTCATGATTCACTTATCACTAGTCAGATGACAAATCCTACAATAGTTCCTGAGCTAGGTGAGGTGCTTTGTGTGTAGATTAATCTGCACAGATCTGATGGGCTTCATCAACAATGACTACGCTTTCCAGGCACCAAGGTCAGCTTTGGTAGCCTGAACTTCATCGCTGACCAACTCAGAGATGTGCATCTTTGCGATCCCGAGCTGACTGAGCAGGCGGAGGAGACCTCCCACCATCCCCTCTGCATGTTTCTCGTTGGGCTGGAGGACGTTGTGGCCACCAGTGCACCTACACTCACACACCACATGGATCTCTATATGTCCAGGATCTTTTCATAAAGGGTGATCCTCCGGAGCACATCCTCAACGGAACCATCAACTTCCTGCTTAGATCAACATCCTCGTGTCGGATGCAACCTTTAATTTGAAGATCATCCACGTGACTTTCCAGATTTCCACATCGGACTCAAGAACGCGATGACAGCATACCAGCAGCTGATCACCTTGCATATGCTTATGTAAGACCCAATCGATCGCTGCTCCATGCCAATGCCACCGAACCCATAGGCTCCGGTGAACAACCCGACGACGATGACTCTAGATTCGTCGGCATGCTGATTGATCCCGCGGGGGATGATGTGGCCAATGCTGGATCCGACTTCAACGATCTAACCATCTCTGAGCTTCTCGGGACGATCTCCAACAATCTCGACAACTCGAACTTGGACTTGGCAATTTTCGTCCTGTTCGCTTGAACTGCTTATCAGTTATGGTATAATATTTTTCTCTCACAATAAATCAGTACCAGCCGGTTTATCAGCCAGAGAAACCATCAGCCGCATAGCTTAGTGTCTAGTGCTAGAGTGGACTGCGTTAAAGCCATTTGCGGTAACTACGGTCAGTAGCAGCAAGCACGGCAGCATCCCTCTCCCTTGGCGGCTTAGCTCCGCTCCGCTCCGTTCGACTGACCGTCTCTCCCATATCCATTCTATAGTCCAGACTGTAGCAGGCTTCCAAATACAGATTTCATTTTCTTCTATTTTACAAAAAATGGAATAATCTTGATTGATAAAATCTAGAGTGAATCACTGCAATCTAATATATATTGCATATTTGCATTGAATTTTTTTTACATGAAATACCCAGCTGCAAAATCCTGGCTTCGCCACTGGTGTGCTTGTATATGTTTGTCTACGCCTATACCGTGTGAACTGTTCAGAGAGGGATGAGTGTGTGCACCTTAACCGTGTGTTTTCCAAACAAAAAGATGAAAATGCCATACAATTTTCAAAACATATAGTCATCGTCGCTGAGATATAACATGCATTATTACGAATGGAGATAAAGGAAATTTGAAGTAATATACGAAGCATGTACTCGTACATTTACTCTAAGCTAAGTACAGCTATGCATGGTGATTTTTTCGAGACGACTTAGTTGCCTTTTCAAAGAGATCGATCATGACACCCGGACACAACGACTTGAGTTGACAGTACCCTTCGCTTGCCATGACATCAGCCAACGTATCTGAACCGGTGATGAAATCAACGCATGCATCTTGCAACATGCTGCAGTTGTGCTGGTCAGCCAACGCAAACATGGACGCCACCGTCGCGATCGTCAGGCTTTCGCAAACACTCTTCTCGCACACGAACTTGAGCCCTCGAACATCGTAGCGGTCCGCGGCGACAAGCAAATGCTTCACGAATTCCTTGCTCCCCCCGTGCCCTGCCAAGATCGTCGTCGTCCAGGCCGGGAAGCACGGCGTCGGTGTAGATGAAACGAAGCAGCGCCCTGAAGACATCAGCCTGCATGTCCACGATGGATATGTCGCGGTGCTCGCCGGTCGTCTCCTTCATGGGGCCGTACAGCTGCGCCTTGAACACCGGCGAGCGCATGGCCAGCACGATGGCGTGTGCGGCAAAAACCTCTCCTTCCACCTTGAAGCTGACGTCGGCTCCCTCCTTCGTCTCCAGCAGGCGGACGAGATCTTGTGACAGGGTCGGAGTCGGCGCCGCCGCCGCCGGGGACCGACGGGCCTTCTTGAACTTGAAGACGGTGATGACGCACTCGATCCTCAGGCAGTCGTCGTGGACGTAGGGCGATGGTAATTCCTCCAGCTTGCTCGTCTTCACGAACGTGCTGGACCCGAGGCACGGGGCGAGGTCGCTGCCGCCGCCGCCGTGGCGCAGGAACCAGGGCTCCGTCCGGTGCACGTGGTTCGGCACGCCGAGGCGCCGGCTGACTAGCGTCAGGTCGTCGCACGACGCCCGGGCCTCGGCGCCCGGGGTCAGGAGCACGGCGAAGGCGGAGAAGCAGCCCGACTTGGCCGCGCCGTGCTTGCTGTCGCCGCGGGGGAAGTAGCGGACGGCCCAGTCGTAGCCGCCGACCTCGAAGGTGGCGGACCGGACGAAGCTGCCGACGCCGACGCGGCTCAGCAGG